AAATGTTTCCAATAAATGAAGACAATTATTTTTGACCACTTTGTTGTTCAGATATATCACATTTGTAACTAAATGATACATTAATTGAAACAAAACACGGTATAAACTGAGGAGTGACTCCCGTGAGGTTCATGTGTTTTCTTCACTCCGCTGGGAAACTGCTCTCATGTCAAGAAGCATCAGATCAATGCATGCACTGCCTCGTCCAATCAGTGAGCGATACACAGTAAGGGGGCGGGGCGAGTGTCTGAGGATTTCATCGAAGGATGATCTGGTGGTTCCTCGATTATAGCTCCTCTATTATCGCTCCTCGCTCCTCCGGCAAAAATAAGGCCATTGGAACGCTACTCAAGATGGCGCAGACAAATCAACTTCCGGTGAGACCGAGACCGACGAGCGAGGAAATAAAAAATAAGAGAAGTGAGAAGGGCCCACACTGAATAACGCCTGTCCCCTTATCACGACACTACACACAAGCCTCATCCCAATACCCCTCCTCGACTCCTCTCTTCCCCTCCTCCGGGACTTGACCATGGATGTATAATAAGGACTTGACCCGGAAATCGATCAAGACACGCCATTTTGAAGGACGTCCCAATAGCTGAAATGCACACGGAGGAGTCGAGGAGGGGTGAGGGAGGAGGGGTGCGGGAGGAGACGAAAGGGAGGATACACGCGAGCAGACTACGCGGAAGTGTTTTCACTACTCGCGTATAAAAGCCCCGCCCCCACCTTCACAGCTGGTCCATTTCAACCAGTCTATGATTTCAACAGAGGAAAACCCACAACTGGAAGATGAGTGGAAAAGCGTCACATAAATGTATAAGTGCTCACAGCTCCGTGGGAATTATTATGTGCAATTCATTTCTAAAAGGCTTTCACATTACTATAATTATATTTTTATTTAAATGTAGGCTACATTTTACACCAAAACGGAACACTAAAGCAGGAACAACCATCATACATTGAATTCCTTGACTAACAAGAGAAAGATTCATTCATTTAAATAAATATTTAACAACAAATGGGCCGGTTCTAAGGGGTTATTCAGTTAAGCCCGATGAGAGGGGATACAGCTGTGCACATGTCATCATTAACAGATAAGAGTGACGTTTGAGTGAACGAGGACATCCCAATTAATACCTGCAGTGGACTCCTCTGTCCTCACGTCACCTCCTCGTGTCTCTCGCTCGCATTTTACGGAGGCGGAGCTAAGATGCAAGGAAGGGCCGCGAGTGAGTGAAAGGAGGAGTCGAGGAGGGGTATTGGGATGACTCTGAGGCTACAGTAGCCGGGTTCAGTCTAATTAGGGAGCAGTGTGCACCTGTGTGTAAGGTGAAAGTATTACTAGGAGCAGGGCCGCCGCTAGGGATTTTGGGCCCCATGAAAAGATATCACATTGGTTACTTAAACATTTTTTTCTTAATGTTATAAAATAGTTTGGGCCCCTGTCAGTCACGGGCCCTGAGAATCGTCCTAACTTTTCACCCCCTTACGGCGCCCCTGACTAGGAGCTGATGGCCAATAACCGTCAACTGCCAATTAACGGCATAATATGTGATCGATGTGTCAATATGTTTAAGGATAGTTTTTTAGATTACATTTTGACAAAAGGCCACTTTAAAGTCACTTACATTACTTGTTTGGACTGCTATATTTATAATACTTTGATGTAAATGTTACATTTTTACTTGTTATTTACTTATAGAAGTATTATCACCTTTATTATATAATATACTGCATTATGTTAAATTATAAACATACTTTGATATATTGTACAATAATCCTCTTATACCATCTTGCCTCATCATTTACTTATGTCTCTATTATGCTTTATTTCTACAGAACTATGGGTGCATAATTATTCTGCTGTTTACATATCTATTCAACCTGCCCTTATTAATCATACCGTGTCACTTACCTTGTAACTTTGTCTATATTTGCTATTTTAAAGTTTTGCATTCTTTGTAGTTTCTACTTTTTTGCTAGTATATACCTCATATTATCTTAAATTGTATTTCTAGTTCTCTATCTGTAATGACCTCTGTCCCTGTGCTGCTGCAACACCTGCATTTCCCCCTGGGGCTCAATAAAGGCTTATCCTATATGCATTTAGTTTTTCACAGAATTACAAAAATGCTATCCATTCCAAACAAACCACTAAGAATGAGTGAGTACTGAGTGGTGTAAATATGCTACAACAGATAGAAATACTGGTTATAATTCTTTAAATCTGGTCATATCAATCAACAATGTAATAAAACAGAACACAAGGCATTGTCAATTTCAGTTCAATTTATTGAATTTATAACCCCTGCATGTTTTTCCATGTTACAAAGGTAGAGGACAGAGTGCTCAGCAGGAGTTGTTGGAATACCTCGTGCCTCTGCAATGCAGTTCGTAAGGCGAACAAAAAAAAAAATGTAAGAATTACATTTTTCTGGCACCACTCGAGTTGAATTCTAATGGTATGAAAAGGAAATTATTGGAGAGTGAGGGAGGAAAATACATAGATTTCCAAAAGACTAGTTTTAGGTAATTACAATCCAAGTCAAAAAATGGCATGACAATGTGGTTTAAAATTGTTTTGGGGAAAGTAGGGCCACAAAGTACAGGAAAGACTGAACTCACATGAAAAATATGAACCAACATTTTTGGATTACCACTCCTTCTGTGTTGTAGAGAAAACACTGCAATTGCAACTCTATCCTCCGCTACATTAAAATAAAAGAGAAAATTATTTAAGAGCCAATTTAGAGTCTTCTATCCATGTTGCAGGGGAAATCCTGTGACTCAGCATACAACAATTGTGCTGAGCTCAGAGTTTAGTTTGGCAGGAAAGGCCAGAAGCGTGGGCGAGTCTACATTAGTGCAGCAAATTAACCCATCCAATTCAGTTGAGCTTTGCACAGTAATATTAGAGGCAGTCCATCCGTTAATACTTGTTTTAAGTCAATTAGTCAACTTGTCTCCTCCTCCCAACCAATTTAGAATTAGCAGAATCCCAAAACTGCCAGTTTGAATCCAAATAGTCACCCTTTTAAACGTTTCTTCCAAATAAGTAAAATATCCCTCCCCCCCGTGTCAGCACTCCTGACACACACAAAGATGTCTCGATAACACCAGATGACAAAATCAACCATCAGAATTGATCATATCCTCCTTTGTGACTTTGTTGAAGACTCCTAGAGACTTAGATTTGAGTTTAATGTCTCCATTTATCAGTATTGTGTATGGAAAAAATAAAGTTGTAATAACGGGGAATTTTTTTTACTTTAAGGTTGAGGTAAAAGTCTGGGATGACGTCTAATGTCGAGTCTAAAATATAGCCAATGTTGAGTTTATGACAAGATCAGGGAGGTAAATTTATCTCTTTGGAAAAATTGCCCAAATATTCCCAAAAAGTAACAAAAGGATCCCCTATTACTGTGTGTGTAATCTCTGATGTTATATTAGTCACAAAGGAGATCATGGAATGACTGTCAGGGATGTGATAGGAGACATAACACATTTTAAATAACAAGTGACATTTGTCCTTAGAAATGAGAATGATGTCCACAAATTGAGCTCCTGGGATGAAGAAAGATAGAAAAGGTGAAACAATAAATCACATCCCTGACAACTGTAAACAGACATACTGATATTTAAGTCATCGCCAACAAAAACAAGACCAGTCTGCACATGAAAACAAAAAAAGACATGGTTATGTTTACATGCAGCCTCAATGTTATTAGAATTCTAAATGATCCATACAATTAACCAAGTTGGCTCCAATGTCTTTGAAAAGGTCATATTGTCTGGTTTAGTTGAAGCTGCATGTAAACTTGACACCACACACCACACACACACACACACACACACACACACACACACACACACACACACACACCACACACACACACACCACACACACACACACACACACACACACACACACACACACACACACACACTACACACACACACACACCACACACACACACACACACCACACACACACACACACACACACACACACACACACACACACACACACACACACACACACACACACACACACACACACACACACACACACACACACACACACACACACACACACACACACACACACACACACACACACACACACACACACACACACACACACACACACACACACACACACACACACACACTTTTTTGATTTGCTTCAAAGTAAATCCCAACTTTCTATTTCAAAGAAGAAGAAAAAACCTCCTCGTTCATGAAGCAAAGTATTTTCTTATTTTTTTTTTGTAGAATTGTAAACGACTAGTGTAAACAATGAATCATTTACAATTGTGTTTCCTCAAAATGATTCATGACACATCGTATAAAGATTGCCCAAGAACGAAACGAGGTGCTGGAAATACGTGGTGGCGCTTCGACCCGTCACAAACAAACATGGAACAGGTTCAAGAAGATCTTAGCGCTGCCACGATTTCCAGAAACCCCCTCCTGTTTAACTCAACGCTCTCTCTGGAACGTAAAACATGGAGAAAACAAGCTACTGTGAAGGAAATCAACTTGAAATCAAAGCTTTAAGTACCAGAGAGACGATGCCCAGAGAGCATCTGATAAAACACTTGGCTTTTGCAAACCCACCCAAAAAAAAAACCCCTCCAGTTACCCAAGGAAGCCTCACAGCTCCTCCCCCCCATTTTAAAAACACCTTTAAGCAACATCAAAAAATAAATCTTAAAAGCAAAAATACTTTCTTTTTTACGTCTATTTTCTCATCATTTGACGCTCTGTTAGGGGAGGGGGGAAAACAAAAAAACAAGGAGATCACAGCTGCCTGTTCAGAGATGCTACAATTTTGCTTTCAAACACCCCTCACACCTTTAGAATAATGATCAAACATATCTGTGCTGAAAAAAAAAAAGATATTGCTGCCGCTTCAGAAAGAAAACTGATTTTCAGTTCAATTGAAGGACAATGTTGTCCCTTTAAAGACTTTATGACAACGTCTCATCATCCAGTATTCAAGCTCATACAGCCAGAAGAGGAGTTTCTAATGCAACAGCAGCAACTAAACACTGGGGAATATGCTGGTGAGCTTGGCATTGGGATAGAGTATTCACATATACATTCACCAACTTCAATTTGAACATGATGGGGCTTTAAAAATAATAATAATAATAATAATAATAAGGATTTGCAAAAATGCTCCTTGTTTTTCCACAAAATCTTAATTAATCCGAAGCAGTCGGGAAAAATTAAACACTATTGTTTTGCACAAAACTCCATAAAAAAAAAAGTATTCCTTGGACCCGTTGTTACAGAAATGTGTATCAGCTTGTCGGCAAATGTTTCCATCAAAGCTGCTGAGAAGCCGCCTCTGACGCTCCTGTGCTGTAGCAGCGTGCAGGAGGAGGACAGTTTGTCATCAACAGCTTCCCTGGCCAATGGGTTTACAGTATTCACCAGCCTAATAGGATGTTATTTCGTATTTATATAGAACAGCCATAATGTCACAGCATGAGGCTGCTATTAATCCCCCGTGCTGCTGAGCGGCTAACATCCAGGAATCAGTATGGGGCCTTGTGTTTCTACCCATCTAAACTCTGTATTATTCATAGGGAAAGGGAAAAACAGTCACGCAGTATTTCAATAAAGCTGCCCTTTTTTTTTTTATTGCAACGTTCATATTAAAAATAAACGTTCACATTCAGGATGTTTTTACGGAGATTGTTTGTTTGTGTTGTCTTTTCCCTTGCATAATGGATGTTTTTTAAATTAACTGGGGTTTAGGTTAAATTCATCGTAGTTGTGCTCGTACTCTGCTGCACAGTGACAGGAAACAGCAGGCTATGAATGGATGAGTGCACATGGGAGTATAAGTAAGGCACTTGAGTGACGACAACAGTGAGTGGACAGGACGACGGCCGCTGGGAGTGCACCGCTTCAACGTTAAAGAGGCTGCGATAATGGAAGTCGTGTCCAGAGCAATGGCTTCTGAACAGCTTTGATACTCATTTACGCTGCTGTGTCACTGAGATACTAGTAAACACACTAGGCTCATACGCAGGATGCATGGTCCATGAGTTTGGTGCAAAACAATATTGCTTCTGAATTCATACAAAAAAATGATAAGAATGAGGCAGCTTTTTGGGAGAAAAAGACAATGAAATGCTTAAAAATAAAAAAACACCTTTTCATCCATTTGACAGGCTTTGAAAACAAGAGAAGCTGAAGAGTTGCCTGAAGCTCGTGTGTTGTCTGTGCTAAAGCCCGGCGTGTCCTGCAGGGGAGATCAAACGCAGGTTAGAAAGACGTGTCGGACATTTTTAATCTAGTGAAAGTCTTACAAATCATCTCAAAGCTTCTTACCTGTTATTATTTGCCGTCCTGTTGGCGTCCTGGTTTCTCCTCGATCTCCTCCACGTCGCAGTCTCCTCCGGAAGTGTGGAACTCGGCCACGTAGAGGCTCTTGTCGATGCTGCTGGGGATGGGCTTGATGTCGGTCACCAGCTGGTCCTCGATGGACTTCAGGTTGAAGCGGTCCTCTGATGTGATCAGGTTGATGGCCAGGCCCAGGTGACCGAACCTCCCTGAGAGGGACAGGGTGTGTTTAATGGAAAAAAAGTCTTCCAACAGCAATATTTGGGATCCACGATTGATCAGCCAACAGCTCAGTCTCGTAATATCCGATCTTTTGGCGGTCAATTTAACAAACATCAGGTATTATGGTTTAACATCAAGCAAACAAAAGGTACCGTCACAGCCACACACACACGAGCATACAGTGACACACAGTATAGCCACAGACACACATCCTGACTGCTGTGTCTGATATTGCGACATGTACGTTTCTTGAAATAAAGATCATCAAACTAATCATCGACACGGGGCAAGACTTGTACTGTTGCTATGCCGTTACACTTTATTTCCAGTCCTCTGTGGGGTGGGAGCATTCTGAGGTGTAGACTAGGGATGCTCCAATCGATCGGCCGATATTCACTCTCTGCCGATCGATCGGTGCTCTCTATAAAGGCCGATCGGGAGAGCCGATCACATGACGTAAAATACATGACACTTTTCTCTGTGTGCGGCAAAACAAGCTCGCCAACATGGCTTCACCGGTCTGGCAGTATTTTAAGGTGTCCGAAAAAGACAATAAAATAGCGGTTTGCAACGTGTGTGAAGCAGAAATCCTGCAGCTCCGCCCGCTGTGACGGACCGGTGAGCAGAGCGACACACACACACTAAGAGTTATGCTATGTTCACACCGGACGCGATGAAAATATTCGCTTCGCTCTAATCGCTCGAGTTTCACCACGGCTGTCAGTTGTGTTTACTCGCATCGTTCAAACAAGACGCGCTGGCTCGGGGGCTACAACTACAACAAAATGAACATATTTCACCTCGTAATACACGTTTCTGAATGATGCCGAAGTAACAACATACTGATACCGGTGACTGTATTCGCCATGACACAGACAGTCTGTGGTTTGTTCTTGTTTAACTTTTGTCCAGTTTCTGAACAGATATGATTACAAGGCATTGAGGATGTTGTACGGTTCACTCATTTTGCCATTTATTGTATAGAAGTGTGGGGCAACACGTATATGAGCAACATAAAGCCATTGTCAATACTACAGAAAAGGGCAGTAGGAATAATTCATAAAGCTGACTCAAGAGAACACACCAACAGACTGTTTTTTAAGTCAGGACTCTTGAAACTCAAAGACAGCTGAGCTGCAGACATCATCAGTAATGCACAAAGCAGAATGTTACCAGCATATTTACAACAGTTGTTTGTTTTTGGATCAGACAAGGAAGACCACAGAAGGAAATTAAATTTTAAGCATCCATATGCAAGGACTACTCTTAAACAAATGTGTATTTCGGTAGTTGGTGTACAATTGTGGAATTCTCAACACAAGGATCTAAAGAATTGTATATGTATTTTTCAGTTAAAGAAGTTGTATAAATGAAGAAAGATGGGACTATATGAAGCAGAATGTGAATAAGTCCATGTACTCTGGTCCTTCATGTTTTTGATGTCTCCTCTGTATTTGCCATTGTTATTGTTGTTATTGTTATTATCATCATGTGTCGCTTTCCACCTTCTTCTCCAGTAGGATTCAGATGAGGGTGTTGCACTTTTCTTTTCCTTATACATGTGATGTTTTGGTGTCGTTTCTTTCCGTTAACCGTCAAGTGGGAAATAAGTATTTTTTTTGTGTGTTTCTCTTAGTATCCTAAGATACTGTTATGTTTGGCTGTGAATTTTTTTTTTTATTATTATGAAGGGCAGACCATCTATTTGTATTTATTTGTTTTTTTTAGAAAGGGGCAGGTCACATAAGATTTTATTCTTCTCCCTGCTCCTTTTCGCTCAATGGTAGAGTCATGTTTTGTGGCAATTATTGTACATTTGGTTTTGCGTACCATGAGCGGGACAAATAAAAATGAAATGAAATGAAATGAAATATGAGGAGCTGTGATCTCTGTGTGCTAATTGCTAACAGCTAACGGGTGATGTTTTCTGGTTGAACGTCAGTGACGGCAGGCTGAGCTCCTCACCGCTGATTGGCTACCGCGAGATCGCGTCACGCGAATATGATGCTCGAGTTGAAAAAAATTGAACTCTCGCGTTTGAAGCGGCACTGTTCAATCGCCTCAATCGTGTGATTCGCGCCGCGTCCACCACTTCATGCTCGCCGTCGGAGCGAATTCGCGTCTGTCCGCGTCTCTGCATTGACTTTACATGTAATCGCGCCACCCCCAAACATCGCATCCGGTGTGAACGCAGCATTAGACCTAACACACTTAGCTATTTTATCTACCTCTGGAACAAGCTAAACTAGTTATACATATATGTATTCTTCACTGTCGGGTCACTCATTACTGGATCAGTGAGCTGCATGAGATACTGACAGGCTGTCAGGAGAGAGAGAGAGGGAGAGAGGGAGAGAGGAAAAGAGGGAGAGAGGGAGAGAGGAAAAGAGCGCTTCCGCTCATTTCTCCCGTGTTATTATCCAAAGTTAATGTAAACTTGAATAATGTACTTAATTTGAATGTAATAATTATGTTGGTTGTTGTTTGTGGTAGCGCCAGTGAATGAGCCCCATTAACTGAGTTTTAAACATCACTTTAAATGGAAGATCCCCATAGGCCCCGCCCATTGGATCGGCAATCGGCCGATACTGATTCCGGCGATCGGAGCAAGGCAAGGCAAGTTTATTTATATAGCACTTTTCAACACAAGGCAATTCAAAGTGCTTTACAAAAAATGAAAGACATTAAGAGGAGCATCCCTAGTGTAGACCGAGCCAACTCTTATAACTCTGGCAAACCAGTATGTTGTATGGATGCCAAGAAGTGTTCAGAGTCAACACTGCAGTTAGATCGAGACTAACAGAGACAGGTTTTACTGTAAGTCAGTGGTTCCCAAACTTTTTCAGTCGGGACCCCCTTGGGTATTGGAACTATTTTCGGGACCCCCCCCAACCCGGTTCCCATCTATATTGGTAGGATTAATTGTTGTAAAAACATTACATTTTCTCTGCTAATAATAAGAAGATACAAAGATCCAACTATAATTTATTATGAATTACACATGAACAAAAGTGCTTGTAATAGATACTGTGAATTAATTTGGCCTAATTAAAACTGGTTGGCCTTCTTCCCTGAGTAGTAGATTTTTAAATTCAAATTTCTTTAAGGAAAATATATTAACTACTATTTCTATTGCAGGTTGCAAACGATCATATCACTTTACCATTCCTATTCCACACTAGCTAATCAATTACTTGTGTGTGCGCTTGCTTTCCCTTGCAGATCTTCTCAAGCCAGGGCTGTTGTTTTGAGACTGCCCCTCTCAGTTCATTCTCAATGTTCAGCTTTGATCTGTATTTCGTTTTGATGGCAGCAACAACAGAAAAAGCCTATCTCACACAAGTAGGATGTTGCAAAAGGCAGAATTATGCCCCCAGCTTTCTGACCAATGAGATATTTTCGAGCAGTGTTCGTTTACAATTGAATAATAATACATTTGATTTATATAGCTGCACTTTAAAAACAACGTCATCTCAAGGTGCTTCACAAAGCTAAAAGGAGAAAATAATAAAATAAAAAAATCTTCCCGCGACCCCCCTGCAGTACCTCCGCGACCCACCAGGGATCGCGCCCCACAGTTTGAAAACCACTGCTGTAAGTGACATGGGAGCCTGCCTGCAGACCTCCACTCTCAGGACAGTTCCGGTGCAGACCTCCACTCTCAGGACACCTCCACTGTCAGTACAGGAAGTGACGATTCTGACGCGTTTTTTTTCCTGCTCACCGAAGGACTCGTTTGATGGAAGTTTTCAAATCACAATTGGAGACTCATCACGGAGGTGATGAGTCCGCCCACCGTGCACTTTGGGTCGGCCTTGGTCAAGCCCTTTTGACCCCCCCAGCCTGGTTCTCATAAAAGCTTTTCGCTCAAATGACACCATGGAGGAATGTAACGGGGACTCTGCCCGCCTCACGAGTGCCTATTTTCGGACACTTTTTTTCACTTTCCCCGGTTTTATAATTTTTTTGGCTATTTCACCCGGTTTCTACCGGGGACATTGCCCAGTCTCGGGTGTCCCCCCACGGCCTGTGTCCCCCCACGGCCTGTCCCCCCCCCCACTCATCCATATATTAACGGATTTTGACCATTTTTCTCCTCTCACTGATCGAATGGCAAACGCGACCCACTGTCGGAGGGCCTCCGCGCCGGCCCGGCCTAGTGCCGGTGCTCTGGCGGTCGGTTCCTCCGAACTGCGGGTTCGACTCTAATGGCCGGGAGGGTGTGCTGCGTTGGGGTGGGGGACTTCTCCCACTCTGCGTGTCTCTTCCTTCCCGGGCCGGCCGATATGAAGCGTGACCAAGACGCACCGTCCAGGGGTCCCACCACGGGCCCCGCAGCGGGGTGGAGGTTCCCAGCTGGAACCTCCCCACCTCCGCCGCGGTGCACCCGGCAAACACGGTTGTTTCTCGAACCTTCCACTGTTCGCACAACGCATTTTAATCGCACTTATTTTTGCACAGCGGAACGTTTCTCACTGGATGAGTTTCAGGCGTACCGATTATACTGGAGCACCAACTAACGTTCATGACTTCAGACAACAACAAACCACAGTGAACAACAGTGGGATATGTTGTTTTAAAAAACGGACGGATGGAAGCGTCGATAAGAGCACGGTTGTGTGCAAATTATGCAAAAAGGAATTCGTATATCACCGCAGCACATCAAGCCTCAAGTATCACCTCAATGCAAAACATATAGCAGCTAGCGTGGAAGCTAGCGTGGATGTTAGCCTCTTTTATCGCGTTCACACCAAAAAGAGCCGGTACTAAAATTAGTTAATGAGAACCTTTTTACCCCCACGAAAGTCCCTGTTAGAGAGCAGAGAGCTGCTAGAGAGCAGGGACTTTCGTACGGCTCTCTTGTGAGAAAAGAGCTATATTTCTGATTGGCTGGGCGGATTGCAAACCACGCCCCGTAAAACTCCCAAAAAGTTTTGTGAAGCCGCCATTTTATTATCCTCGCATTAGCATTATTAGCATTAGCCCAGCGCAGAAACGCAGAGAGACTAACTTATGGCAACACAAAATAAAACATGGGAGCGGTGGAGATGAGGAGGTGTCGGCGTTCTGGCGATTTACTCTGAAGGCTGCTGGGACTCCCAGCAGCTTCTACTGAAGCCAGTCCCTAACTCCGGGGACTTCCGGCCGGGGACTTTGGGCGGCAGTATACGCCGTGAAGTGGTTTGCGGCCTGCCAGTAAACCCAAAGCAGAAGAAGAAGAAGTGACGTCAGCGGCTTCATTTGCCTAATCCACCCCCAGGTTCAAAGAGTTCTCATGAACTAAATTCTCATGAACCTTTGTGGGAAAAGTACTGCGGTGTGAATGCGCCTAATGGTATACTAAAATCCATGTGAAAAAAAATTGCTTCTCACTGTTCTTAGGTCAAATATGTATATGCGATTAAAAATGCGATTAATTTCGATTAATTAATTACAAAGCCTCTAATTAATTAGATTAATTTTTTTAATCGAGTCCCGGCCCTAATATATAACATATGTATATAATAAGTGTCACGATCCGATTTTATTTTGTATTTGCGTGCATTTCCTGTTTGGAAAGTGGCACTGTACTGATAGTGGTGATTTTATTTTGGAATTCTTAGCGTGCACTTCCTGTCCTGACAGTGGAGGTGTCCTGAGAGTGGAGGTCTGCACCGGAACTGTCCTGAGAGTGGAGGTCTGCAGGCAGACTCCTCTCGTAAGTGAAGCCAAGAATTTAGATCCTGTAAAAGTAAACGGGTTCTTGCAAATGAGACGGTGAAGTGTAATCATAATGAAGTAGAATACAGCATCGAGGCGTAGGAAGCATACCTGATCTTCCAATGCGATGGAGGTACGTCTCAGCGTTCTTGGGGAAATCGAAGTTGATGACCACATTGACAGCCTGGATGTCAATGCCCCTGGTGAACAGATCTGTCGGAAGAAGTTGGATTTGTCATTTCTCTTGTTTTTCCTGGTTTAACATCAATGGCTTTTTTTTTTTTTAAATGCATCATTTAACATAAGAAACTCACCAGTGCAGACCAGGTTTCTGCACAGTCCATTTCTGAAGTCGTGGAACACACGGTTTCTGTATTCCTGAAAATATACAAGAGATGAAAACACTGCTAAAGAGGCTAGGAAGAAAGACACAACAAAAAACATTTAAAGACGCAAGAGTCAATTTCAAGCACTTTCCAGGTACCTAATAGACAAATGTCCAGATTTCTGAAGCCTTTAGCACCACATCTAACCTGTTACTAGAATTAAATACTGCAATCAATGTATATTTTCTATTTTATTTGACCAGTTTTATTTTGTTATTGATCATGGTTATTTAATGCTTTCTAATGATCCGTTTTTTGAAAGGTGACTGAGTAGAAGTAGTAGTTTTCCACAGAGCACCTCTTCCTCACCTGCATCATCTTGGCATGGATGTAGAAGCAGGAGTATCCCAGCTGAGTGATCTTCTTGGCCAACAGCTCCACCCTCTGAGTGGAGTTACAAAAGATGATCGACTGGTTGATCTGAAGCTGTGAGGTGGAGAAAAAAAAAATCGAATGTTATGGATTTCTCATCTACCATAATAATAAAGACTGAACAATAAAAAGTGAACACTTCTGTGCTGTGTTTCCATTTGTTTATGATAAAGTGTAACGCACAAAGGTTAGAACATCTTCTGCAGCATTTCAGAATGAGATGAAGTGCCATAGTGACTGCGAGGCTTGGACAGCGAGTAGTTACCCTGGAGAACAGCGTGTTGAGACAGTGGACTTTCTGCCTCTCCGTGACGTAGGCGTAGTACTGAGTGATGCCCTTCAGAGTCAGCTCCTCCATCAGGTTTATCTCATAGGGTTTCTGAAGGTGCTTGGACTACAGCAAGGACAATAAACAGATTAAAATGTGCATTTAAAGGCGGTAGAATTATCACACATTACAAGAATGACCGAACTTCCCTCAAATAAGTAATAAAATGTGTTGCTTGATGAGTTTGTTTTGTTTCTCTTGCACTGTAGTGGCTTACTAAGCATTTAGATATGTTGTTTCATAATCACAACAATCTAACCCTGTGCCTGTTGGCTGCTTTAGACAAAGACAGTCCCTGAAATGCATGGAGCAGACGAACAGATCTGGGCACGGCGTGACAACAGCTTGGTGTGCAGTGAGAGCCGAGCGGTGCCAGGTGGCCTGCGGCCATGGAGCCGCCGAGGGCTGCAGCGATCAGCCCAGGACTCACCATGAACTTCTGCACGCTGATGGGGAAGGTTGCAGAGTAGAGCAGGATCTGCCTGTGCTTGGCCAGGAAGCTGATGATATCCTCAATGAGCACCACAAAATCCTGAGACAGCAGCTTATCCGCCTGAGAGGAAGCACAGACACGTTAACAGGCAGGCTTTTCTCCTGACTTCCATAAACATGGAATGAAAAAAATAATAATAATTGTATAGAAATTAAATGCTTTTGACAATATATACTAGCAATAAAGAGCATTTTTCTTGTTTAGTCATGTTTACCTCATCCATCACCATCATCTGGACTCTATCCACTTTTGCAACGCCTTTCTTTATCAAGTCCAGGATCCTACCAGGCGTGGCAATGACCACATGCACTGAGGTGGGTAATGGGAGAGAAAGGTGTAATAACATTAGTATATGATCCTTCTTTGTTGTGTCCATTATCTGTACCTTACATTTTTTACTAAATCAGACCTTATTGATCCCAATTTGGGAAATGGTTTTATTGCATCAGCATGTAAACAAGGCATTGAACATGAATTAAACCAAATAAACAAAGAAATGATTATACAATAAACACATTAACAGTACAAAGATATACATCTATAGAGGGTACAATATAACACAATATACTTTAATAGACCAATCTATTATTAAAGAAAATATAAACATAGGGTATAAAAGTAAATTGTAAACTTTTTTTTAAATGAATCAGAAAAATATAACTTTAAAAAGGCTTAGTGGGTTGAATTGACTAATTGTTGATATTTTTCTGCACACTGTGTAGTGTGCAGAAAACCTTTTTGGAAGTACCATTAGTACGTCAGTGAGATTCACTGTAGCTTCTTACCGGTCTCATCCAGACGCATGATGTCATCTCGCAGGTTGGTGCCCCCTGTGGTTGCCATGACTTTGACCCCCCCCAGGTGCTTGCTGATCTGGATGGAGATCTGGCTCACCTGCAGTGCCAGCTCCCGGGTGGGCACCATGACAAGTGCTGAGGCAGGGAAATGTACAGGTTACTATAGCTATAATGACAGACATGTATTTTTTATTTTTGACATTTGAAGCTTCTATTGAGGTTTTTGAATAAAGCTTTGAATATCTTTCGTCCAATGAATGTTATGATGTAATCTCCTTACAAAATTAACCATTTGAAGAAAAAAAAAAGGACAAATCAGATTAAATTAGTTTGTCCTTTTTTTTATTTGGGTTGTTTTTAAAAAAAAAAAGGCTTTACACCAATAATAGGCATTCAAGCAGAATATTTTGTTTGCTTAAACTAATAATACTGGTTTAGCTACATTTGTATCTGCTAACAGCAGCAAAAGCTAAAATGTTGATTTGAGATTTTAATAGCAATTTGATCAATCTGACTTCTGTATGAATCGGTACAGCCAGGTCAGAGGTCACGTAGGCCATTGTTAAGTGAATTGAGCACGATGAAAATACAGGCAGTGCCTCACCCTGTATGTAGTCCTTCTTCAGGTCGATTCTCTCCAGCATTGGGATGAGATAGGCTCCACTTTTTCCTGTTCCATTCTTAGCCCGAGCCAGAATATCCCGTCCAGACAGGGCGATGGGAATGCTCTCCTCCTGCAAGGAAACACAAATATTATCTTTGTGAGTATACTGTGGCATCATTCTTCAATCGTAATGCTGCAACAATTCTCTAATCTACAGAAACTGTTTTACTCCAACACTGACATTTAGTTACATTATCTGACAAGAATTCAGGATTCAAATAATGAACCAGTTTTACATGTTTGACTATGAAAGGTTTGTGTATTTTATTCTAATGAGCATTAAACCATAGCACACATGTACTGAGTTGTAACAACCCTAAATAACAAATGAATGACATTTAAAAAGCGATTTTCTGTAATGGCTGTTCAGGCATGATGATGACATTAGTTTCATCTGGTTAGAAATTATAATTTGCCAAAAAAAATAAAAGAAGCCATACCTGGATAGGGGAAGGTTTCTCCCAACCCATCTCAAAGATACCCATCAGGAGTTCTCTTTTGAGACAGTAATCTTCAAACTCATTCCCCTTAGTAGACGTGACATCCTGCAGTAAACACAGGAGGGTTAGGAACACAGTAGAGCTAAGAAACAGTAGGAAAGAAGAGAAGGGATAGTTTGACTCACAGAGGTTCTGACTCTGTCGTCTCTGGGAGGGAGCTTTAGGCTCTTCTTCCAGTCGTCCCCGAACTTGATGCCTCCTCCGTCCTGAGCGGCACCGCCCACTGTCTGGGGTGCAGCCGGAGCCTTTCCTTGAGTTGTGGGTGCTGGCTGGACTGGAGCTGGTTTGGTCTGTCCTCTGAGCTGCCCGTTCTGCTTGTTCAGTCCCATGATGACGGGGCCAGAGTTTTCTGTTCTGGCCGTTGCCATTATTCCTGTTTTCCTTGTTTTTTTTCTTCTTCAAAGTATTAGATTTTTGCCTCTTAGGTTTTTCTTTTTAAAAATTCTCTTCAAAAGTAAAAAAGTTTAATAAAGCATTAACAAACAATATTCTCTATTCTTTTTAAGTCCAACAGAAGTCAATTTGTAGTATTTACATATACACATGTACGTGCAGTTCGGTCCCCTTCAACAACAGAGTGACTGACGTACAAGAACAACAACAAAAACACGTTTTTACACAAGAGCTCTTCAAAATGAAGAGAAATTTGCACTCATTTGCATGAATATACTTGCCCACAAATAGAAAAATTATATGTGAACAAGTATCAAAGCGGTTCAAGTCCTGAATTAGAACAACTAAGGCAATCTGAACTTGGGGAACAGCCTCTTCAAAATAATCTTAGTTCAATGCTTAATGCTTTTGTTTCAAATTGAACAAAACTTCCTCTTTGAGTCCAAAGAGTTGCTCAATATCCCCGTCCTTGAAAAAAAGGTTGTCCAACTTTGTACAAGTATTTCCCCAAAATCATAAGGTCTGTAATGATTTCCTTTTATTATTTCCACTGTGTGGATTACGTCGCTCGACTGTGTGAAAAAAAACTGGATCCTGAATTCACAAATACAAGGGGGTTTCTAGTCCAAAGCCAAAAAGCTTTCCACCCCTTTTTAGTCCTCAGTGTGCGTTTCCTTTCTCCTCCAGGTGTTTGACCCTCTCTCGCCGGGCACCACAGGTCTTCAGGTCGGTGTGTGACGTGTGTGGCCGTGATTAACCCGCTGCCTCCTCAAAAGTCAGCCAACAACTCAATCTTGTAACCTAAAAAGAAATTCCAACCAAATGGTTTTAAAACAAACCATGAACAGCAAAGTAACTGACTCGGTCGTTGTTGCACACTGTTTAAGTACATTTTATATTCTGAAATACAATGACTGATATTTCAAAAAAGATTCAACTTCACTACAAATCAGAGGGATATCGTGTACTTTGACTCCACTACATGTATTTAATACCTTTAGTTACTTCACAGATGTGGATGAATGATGTGAAATCTAATCAAGTGTTGAATCAGACTTTAGTTCCACCTGGAGTAAATCCACCAGCTACCGTATGCAGTATACAAAGTCATTCAAACTAGTTGCACCTTTACCAGCTTTGAGAACACTTTCATGATCAATCATTATAAAACATATCAATATATTATTCTGAAATGGACCAATCTGCACAATGACTACTTTCACTTTTGGAACTTTAAGTATATTTTAATTAGATTCAAATTAGAATTTGGAGGATGAAACCCTTTTTAATGGTCACAAGTGCAAACAGCATACAGTGACATTTGACCTCTGCATTTAACCCATTCTAGTATTAGAAGCCTAGTACTAGGATGGGTTAAATGCAGAGGTCAAATGTCACTGTATCCTAGTACTAGCAGCCTAGTGGGCCAATACGTTTCTACTTTTACTTGAGTAACTTGCGCTCTCATAGTATTTGACAGCTATATCTCCAAAGTTAGAACAAAAAAAGCTTTAAACCGTGCTGCTTTTCTTTCCTGAAAAAAACAAGAACATTACAGTATTGGAATTTATGTCAATGTTAGAGTATTAAGAAAATTGCACCTTTCATCATTGCTTTACCAAGATTGTTTTGTTTTAGCCGTTTTTATAAATTATTACTATTTTTGTACTGCATACTAACTGGATACTGTGCTCATAGTTGTGTGTGTCGGTAGTGTTTGTTTGTTTGTTGGTGTTGCCTTTTTGACCACGTTACTATTGAACAAATATTTGTATCTTAATGAGACTTAAACCTGTTGACATTAAGGACATATATCTGCCACTGTTCGTCTCCTAACTTATAAGGGGTTCTTGCTATTGAAAATAATAACAGACTTGCAAGCATTGATAGTGACATATCAAGCCAATGTTAAAAAAATTGTTGCAACTTTGATAAGAAACACTAGTTCTTTAGACTTCAGTGAAAGGCTAAATTAAGCTAATTGGCTAACTGGTTTGGTTTAAGATTGCACAGGTGAACCTGCCAGGTGGCAATTATCTTCCGAGGCCGATTAGCGATGCTCAAAATGCCCGGATTGGAAAGAAGACTGGCCTACAATTAAGACTGTATGTCTGACTGAAGTGTATTTAATAATAATTACAGTCTTAAGCGATTGTCAAAAACTGTAAGTCGGGTCCAAAGACGCTCTGACTGAGTGAATTACTTGATAGCTTCAAACATGACCGCACAGATACAAGTCATGTTATTGCATATTTACACACATTTATATGATAAAAGGTTTCACATGTATTACATTTAGAGTATGTCACCATATGCATTGCTTGGTAAGGGTTCGTTCGTCTTCCTATTAATACAATAATAATAATACTGCGTCTCAGGTAAACAACATTAGCACCGTAGGGCTAACGTCACCGATTTGCGAAACTAGTGTTAGCTCCAAGCTAACTAAGCGCTAAGCCGTTTCAACAATTTCATTCAGATTGTCTACACACAATATGACAACAATCGTGTAAAGTTTCGCGACTATTACCAAACTCGTGGTTACCGTCTCGTCCATTTAAATGTTGTCGTTAAAGCTATATGGCACAATAAGCAAGCTCTTTAGCAGCCGGACTATTATAGCACAAATAACTCCTCTCGATAACGTTAGCTATGTGCTAGCGAGAACACAACAACGATGTTTTTAACACAATTTGAGGGTTGCATGTCGCAGAAAACCTACCTTAGTTTCTCTTTTATTTTACATAGGATACTCAGTGTGCGGTTGCTCAACCAATTTCTTTACAATTCGCTATAATAACTGATTTTTAGTTGAAATAAATCGTTTCTTTTGTGTTTCTTCTTCCTTTAAATCAACATGGTCGCCTTATTCTTCGTCTTCTCTTCCTCTGTGTCTCGCTTATATTTATTACATGTGACACTCCGCCACGCTGCTGCCACCTGCTGTCACACCTGGTTACTGCCGAGACGATACAGTCTAATTAATACATTTCCAAATATACATTTTTTAATGAAAATATTCTCTATTCGTGCTGAAAACGATGCCAGAATAAAAAAAACTTAAGTAAAAGCACTGGAGAGATGGTTTACTTTGATGTATTTACCTTTACTTTACTTATTTAGTGGGAATGCTGATACAGCATTCCAATTATCTGTTCTTCTCCGCACGAAATTCTTTATTCTTATTATTCCGCCCGTTATTTTGCCGGTCTTCTCCTCCCGCATTGAACATCGCAGAAACTCCGTTCAAACATCAAAACATTCAGCTCGGTCGGGAATCGATTGCTATTACTTTTATCATTCATAACTTTCATAATTCAGACTTCAACAAATCTTCATGCGACTTCAACTGCTAACTGTCAATTCATACTTTCACTCAGAAACTTTAAAACTTTAAAATGTTACACATCTTTCTGACATTATTCGTGTAACGCAACTTTTAAATCTGATTCTTACTTTTAGAGATATTAAACATTGTTCAGACCTTGGTAAAGAGGCCTTCTTCAGATTTTAGAGTGCGTGATGTCACAGCTAGAGTGGAGGAGAGATTTAATTTTGCCTTCATATTTTCTTTTAAACCTGCCATAATTCCCAAACCCTACATCCCTGAGACATAATTTGTCATGAGAAACGTAGGAAAATATCTCGTAGCTTGAAAAAAAAAAAAAATTAAGCAAAATAAATTAAACAAAATGCCTCTTGAGGGCATGAAGTGACAACAACTTTCAACATGTCTCCATTAAACCCCATTGTAAATTCAGCCTCATCTTTCCCCACCACAGCAGCCGCACACCTTTAGTTAATCTGATGGCGTGCAATGATTTTGCCTCCTGACAAAATTCCCATTGTAAATTCAGCCTCATCTTTCCCCACCACAGCAGCCGCACACCTTTAGTTAATCTGATGGCGTGCAATGATTTTGCCTACTGACAAAATTCAGAAAATCAGACAAGCAGTCAGTGCCTCTGCATCAGGAACAGCAAATGTGTTGTCTCTGTGTCCACTTAACATCAATTCAAACACCATGACACAATTCCATCAGATTAATGATAAAAACCTAGAGGACATTATACAACTTCTGAAATCCTCCTCTTGCTGCCTTGATATTATTCCAACAGGATTTTTTAAAGATGTTTTGCCTTGCATGGCCTCAGATCTACTTTATATAGTAAACAAATCTCTTCACTCAGGTATTTTTCCACAGGCCCTGAAAACTGCAGTCATTAAACCGCTCTTAAAAAAGAATAATCTAGATGCTTCAGTAATGAACAATTACAGGCCCATATCAAACCTCCCATTTCTAGGTAAAATCATTGAAAAAGTTGTTTTTCAACAGTTGAGTAATTTCTTGCATTTAAATAACTGTTTCGATGTGTTCCAGTCAGGCTTTCGTCCAAACCACAGCACTGAGACTGCTCTTGTAAAGGTCTTTAATGACATCCACTTAAACACAGACAGTGGCAGAACTTCAGTGTTAGTATTATTAGATCTCAGTGCTGCGTTTGACACTGTTGACCACAGCATATTACTAGACCGACTGGAAAACTGGGTGGGACTTTCGGAAACAGTTCTAAATTGGTTTGAATCCTACTTAAAGGACAGAAACAACTTTGTTTCTAGAGGTAAATACACATCTGAGTTGACAAATATGACATGTGGGGTTCCTCAAGGCTCCATCTTGGGGCCTCTTCTCTTGGAACTTGGAACCTGATCCAAGATCGATTCTATTGGGCCTGTATGTACTCTGACATAGAACAGTTTGTCACCCAAGAGTGTGAGTGTCTCAAGGCAAAGCGACCTCACAAAGCAACCAGGGCTCCCATGACAACCATTGTCACAACACGCTAGTATGAGCTAGTATGCATTGACTTTTTACACTTAGAGACATGCAAACAGGGGTTTGAGTACATTCTCATTGTGATCGATCATTTCACTGGTTTCGCCCAAGCCTACGCCACGAAAAACAAATCTGCTAAAACTGTTGTTGACAAGCTGTTCAATGAGTTTGCACTCCGCGTCGGATTTCCAGAGAGAATTCACCACGACATGGGGAGAGAGTTTGACAACCAGTTGATGGACCAACTACAGAAGAGCTGTGACGTGCGGGGGTCCCACACAACATGTTACCACCCCCAAGGCAACGGGAAGTGTGAACGGTTCAATAGAACTATCTTATCAATGCTCCGCGCCCTCACAAGTGAACAGAAGGCTGATTGGAAGAGCTCATTGACAAAACTGGTGCACGCGTACAACTGCACCCGCAGTGGGGTCACAGGATTCTCTCCCTACTACTTGCTCTACGGAAGGTCACCTCGTTTGCCAGTAGACCTGCTTTTCAACCTACAGCCCAGAGAGGCAAAAGAGACTTACACTGAATATGTACAGAACTGGCAAAACCGAATGCGACAAGCCTATGAGATCGCATCCAAAACAGCGGCCCGGGAAGCTCTACGGGGCAAGAAAGGCTATGACAAAAGAGCACATGGAGCAGACCTGCAACCTGGTGGACGGGTGCTCGTGCGTAACCTGTCATAGAAGGGCGGCCCAGGTAAACTGCGGTCCTACTGGGAAACTAAAGTGCATGTGGTGGTGAAGAGAAGGAGCAGTGACAGCCCGGTGTATGAAGTAGCACCAGAGGGAGGAGGTAAGAGTCGCGTATTGCACAGGAACCTCCTACTCCCATGTGACAGTCTGCCCTTGGGGAAACCGGAACCCGACCCTGCAAAACAAGAGAGGAAAATACAGACACGGACAAGAACAAGACAACACCAAACCGGCGAACCAGAGGAAGATTCAGACAGCGAAAGCAGTGATGAAGTTGAGCTGGTGTGCCGTTTCCCTTACGACCAAGAACTAAGTCAGAGAGCTGCAGAGTTGAATCCAGCTGCAGATTTGAATCCAGAGGCAGAGACATTTGCACCAGCCCTGACGATGCAAGACGGAGCTCCAGATCTGGAAGATGCAACGGTTGCTCAAGAGGAGACAGAGACTGACAACAGAGGCATCACAGCTGATGGAGATGGTGAGAACCGCACGGCAGAGCCTGGGGAAAGTCTACAAGAGTCATCAGAGGAAGATGATCCTGACCCTCCGCCAGCGACCAGCTATCCGCAGCGACACAGGCACCGTCCCCGAAAGCTGACCTACAACGCTTTGGGTGAGCCGACGTGGGAGCGGCCGAGAGTCTGCACATCGTGAGTATGTCACCAGCCTGCCACCCACCGGTCATGTGGCGACCGTGGGCATCATTAGACGTTGAGGTAATGGGTTGAACTCACATTACACGAACATTACCCTAGTTCGGAGAAAATGGACTCTGAAAAGTAAAATGGTGAAATGTATATGGACTGTGAAGAAGAGACAATTCCGGGAAAACATATTGCACTGGTACTGTACAAAAGAAGAGACTGGTAACAGACTAAAAGAACCGGGGCCGATATGAGTTCTGCTACATTTGAGAGTTGATCTGATTGGGATCCAGAGTACAGTAACTGATGTTTAGTGGTATAGGTCTAAATGGGTCAGATACTTGGATAAATGGGTACTAATTGAATTGAATGTCAAGTGCCACTTTAAAATAAGTAATACCATGTTTTCAGTGTGAAAATGCAATGTGTGAAAAGGTACACTTTGGGTATCTGAAATGTCTGGAGACATTTATTATTGGGGGGGGAGAGTGTGGCATACAGAGCCATTAGTGGGTTGATATACCTACATTATTAGTAATTACATGGTTAACATGATTTGCATTTAATACAGCTCATGTTCAGAGTGTGGTGAGAATTGTCTGTGTGTTTTCTGATAAGGAATGGTTGGTTTATTGTTGGAAAAATGTAGTGTTATCTAGCAGTATGTAGTGTCTAACTCCGACCAGCACAGGGCGCGTTCGCTACACGGTGTTGGGGACAAAGAGAAGTCTCGCGTGAATAGTTCAGAGAACGTAAACATACACTTGAGTGAAGTCACGGCGTGTGTGTGTGTGTGTGTGGCGAACTGTGATAATAATATATATATTTTGGCTCTTTGCAGGTAAGAACGGAGAGTTGGAATTGTGTAATTGATGAGTGAATATGTTATGTGTGAGTTTATGATCCCGGTTGGACTTTATGTAGTAGTGTTTATGAACGTTACTTGTTCAGCAAACGTAACGTACTGAAAATGGCTAGCCAGTAGTTAGCACTGGTGGCCTTGTTAGCTTGAGCGAGCGTGAGGCGGGAAAGTAGAACAATGAGCCGGTCTAAAGAGCCCGGACTGCTCGTGTATAGTTAATAGATAAATAAATAAGTTAAAAGAGATACATAAGTGATTTGGTTAATGTGACAATGTTAGGTAGACATGATTGGCTGACTGTGTATCGGAGCAACAAATTGATATTGAATGTACAAGATGAAACTGGTCTGGAATATCAATGCAACAGACATGATTATTGTTTGGATGTTGATGCAAATGTTCATTTTGTTTCTGTGTTAGTATAGTAAATACGTGCAGAGAACGTAAACATACACTTGAGTGAAGTCATGGTGTGTGTGTGTGTGGCGAACTGTGATAATAATATATATATTTTGGCTCTTTGCAGAACAAAATAAAAGACTTTCAAATTAAATGTGTAGTGGAGGGCTACTTCACTCTGTACCACGCTACATTAGCGCTGAGCTTCAGTCTGCAATGTTCAAAACAACAGATAAAGCCAGAAATCTAGGTGTAGTCATGGACTCTGACCTGAGTTTCAACAGTCACATTAAAACAGTTACTAAATCAGCCTACTATCACCTAAAGAATATATCTAGGATTAAAAGACTAATGTCACAGCAGGATTTGGAAAAACTTGTCCATGCTTTTATCTTCAGTAGACTCGACTACTGCAATGGTGTCTTCACGGGTCTCACTAAAAAATCTATTAGGAAGCGG